CGACATAGAACGTCGGGTGCGTAGTCATTGACTTTGGAAGGTCGATGGTGTACGACGCACCATGTCTGGCCAGGACTGCAAAAGGTCCGATGAAGCGGTGCTTCAGTTTGTTGCTGCCGACAGAGCTAACAGTGTCTAGAGGTAGGTTCCTCGTGTCTAGCAGCACTAAGTCACCAATCTCAAATATACTTAAGGTTGGTGTGGAGATAGTGTGGTGAACAACGAAAATGATGTCATAAGATCTGATAGTCGTACCAGGGAGCCTTTTGCCATATTTATTGTCAATAATTGGTCCAATACCATATTGTATTGATAAGCTCAGCTACCATAATACATATTTATATTGCAAACCCCAATAATTTATTGAATCGCAATTATTATTTCCGACCTCTGGCGTGCTCCAGCAAATCAAGATAATGTCCGGTCCGCCACAGTCCCGAATACTATTGCTGCGAGAACTCCGAGACCATCAAGGTGCTCTACACAAAGTACAATCGTCCGTCAGGGGGTGACTACGAGTCGTACTATGTGGACGGTTGGGAGAAGCAGCGCCAAGTGAACTTCCCTTACACCATGTACCATCCCAGCACGCCACCATTCAACTACACCGATCCCAGCACGGTGTGTCGAGTGCAAGCCATAGCGAATACAGCGACAGGCAAGCTCACCGAGGAACTTCAATGCGCTGAGAGTAACTCATCACTGACTGCTGCTTCGCAAGACAGCACCGCCTTTTGGACATATCAAGGCAACTGGCGGAATAACAATGCTTCATTCCCTTTGGGCGCGAACTGCTTCAGCCTCATGCTTCGAGACGGCTCAGTTGACACGGATCTGAAGGCTGCGTGCTCGGCTAATCCTACCGCTGTGCTGCCCACTGTCATATTCACTACTTTCATGGAGACGCCATTGGTCATCATTTACCTCGTGTACCTCTCGCTGTTTGCATTCTTTCATGAGAGAGACACGCAGCTGGCCAAGGATATCGATAAGAAGTTGCTGGCGACGCCTCATACTTTCCCTATGCTTGGCGCGAGTGAGACCTATGGCCGTCGTACGAGCATTCGCGCCTCAGATGTGCAAATGCAAGCAACAGCCAGTGGGGAAATTCTGCAGATAGGTTTCTCCAATTCGTTCTTCGGCTCGTGCGTGTTCAGCTGCTTGGTGGTGGCATCGGTTGGCTTACATGCACTTCTCATTACAATTATTGCGGACTTCTATCGCAACTTTGACCCACCGCTTTTGGGAGGACAGCACGGCAATTTTCTTCGTAGTGTGGGTCTTTGCTCTCCTCTGGTTCGTGGGCATTATGTCGGCGCAAGATCGTATCCTCAACTTCTTTCGGCAACGTACCCCACTCAACAAATGCGAGTTCGTCTACATGTTCAAGCGTGACGAGACCGAGGTATTGCTAGCTGATCGATCGGGTGTGTCGGACTTCGTAGCTAAAGTCGAGAGCTTCTTCGCCTCCAAGGGAAAGATCAGCGGATACCGTACGACTGTTCCGGTGGTGGAGGTAGATGGACTCCGAATTGTCGAGTTCCAGCACATCCGATACGTGTACGAGGAGACCGAACAGCGCTTTGTGCCTGGTGTCGTCGCACTCGGTCGCACCTACGACGATATGCAACAAGAAGCCAGCGGACTATCGGATACCGAAGCGAGACACCGAATCAACACGGTCGGATCGAATTCCGTTGACGTGGAGATGCCGTCGCTGCCAGTGTCCATGGCGCAGGAGTTCTTCACTCTGTTCTACATCTACCAGATCATGTGCTACTACGTCTGGTACTACTTCACGTACTGGAACATGGGGATTGTCATGACGGTCGTGGTGCTGGGTGCCGCCGTGGTTAACATCTACACGCAGCGTCAGATCCAGTCGTCGATTGTCAAGATGACCCGCTATCGCACGGATGTGACGGCGTTCCGTGCCGGTGAGTGGCGAGTGTTGTCCTCTCCCTATTTGGCCTCTGGTGATCTGGTGAAGGTGTCGGAGAACTGGGTGGTGCCGTGCGATATGGCCATCGTGAAGGGCACGACGGTGTGTGACGAGTCCATGTTGACCGGTGAATCGATGCCGGTGCAGAAGTTCCCGATCCCTGAACACAGCTCGGAAGTGTATGACCCGGAGAAGGGCAGCAAGAAGCACACGCTGTTCGCTGGTACTCGCGTCTTGTCTTCGGGTCGCAATGAGGAGATTCTGGCGATTGTACAGACAACTGGTGCGCATACGACGAAGGGTCAGTTGATTCAGTCGATCCTGTTCCCAATCCCGATGCGATTCAAGTACAACGAGCACCTGAAAGTTTTGATCGCTCTGCTACCTTGATCGTGTGCACCATCGCCACGTACTTCGTCGTTGACAACCACATGATAAGCAACCGGTTCGCAACGTTCTTCACGTGCATCTTCATGTTAACTGCCGTCGTTAGCCCATTACTACCAATTGTCATCACCGTCGGCCAGGTGAACGCCTCCCAGCGTCTCGAAAAGCTCGGCGTTTTCTCGCTCAATGTCCAGCGTATCACTCTCGCCGGTAAGGTGCGCATTTTCTGCTTCGACAAGACCGGCACCCTCACCAAGCAGGGACTCGACTTCCTCGGCGTACAACCGGTTAGAGACGGCCTCTTCACCCCCATTGTCAACGATGTGAAGGACGCATCGTCGTTTGAAGATCTTCTGTACGCACTGACGACGTGCCACTCGGTCGGCTCTCTTGAAGACCGTCTCGTGGGTAACGAAGTGGAGGTGCGCATGTTCACGGCCACGGGTTGGGAGCTGGTCAAGAAGGAAGGAGAACAGCCGTGTGTGAAGTCGAAGGTGGACCCGGGACTGGAACTGGAGTTCATCAAGCGCTACGACTTCGACCACCACCGCATGTCCATGAGCGTCGTGGTGCGCAACCGCAAGAGTGGCAAGTACTATGTGTTCTGCAAGGGGTCGTACGAGCGCATGCAACAGCTGAGCACACCTGGCAGTGTGCCGGCGGACTACAAGAGCGTGGCCGACCGTCTCGCCAAGGACGGATGCTACGTTTTGGGTCTGTCGTACCGCGAGCTGCCGAGCGACTGGACGCATGAGCAAGTTGTCGAGTTTGCCAACGACCGCGAGGCTGTGGACGAGAGTCTGTCGCTGCTGGGTCTCATTCTGTTCCGTAACGAGCTCAAGGACGACACGGCCGACGCCATCGCCAAGCTCAAGGCCGGCGACATTCGCACCGTCATGATCACGGGTGACAACGCCATGTGCGGCTGCTACATTGCTCGCCAGAGCGGCATGGTGTCGTCGAGCTCTCGTGTGATTCTGGGTGAGATGGTGTCAACGACTGAGTTCAAGAAGTTGGTGTGGCGCGACGTGGACTCGGAGGAAGAGTATGACCTGCCTGCGGTGAAGAGTTTGGTCGAACGGGGCGAGGACGTGGAGCTGGCCGTCACGGGTGTGGCGTTCGACTACCTGGTGTCCATGGGCGAGATCAAGAGGTTGTTACTGCACATCCGCATCTACAGTCGCATGACACCCGACGGCAAGGTGGAGTGTGTGAAGCTGCACATGGAGACAGGAGCAGTGACTGGTATGTGCGGCGACGGGGGCAACGACTGTGGTGCTCTTCGTTTCGCGCACTGCGGTGTGGCTCTGAGTGACGCTGAAGCTTCAGTTGTGTCGCCGTTCACGAGCAAGTCGAAGACGATCCAGTCGGTGGTTGATCTGTGCCGTGAAGGCCGCTGTAGCTTGGCGACGTCGTTCGCGTCCGTCAAGTTTCTGATTGTATACGGCCTAATTGGCTCGGTGATGTGGGGCTTCCAGTCGTATCACACCGTGATGGTGTCGCAGTGGTGCTGGATCCTCTCGGACGGATTTTTTTTCTACTGGGCTGTTCGTACGCCATCACGCTGTTCAAGCCACTGAAGGAACTAAAGCCTGTGCGCCCGACGTCCAGCCTCATTGGACCCACCACACTCGTGTCACTGTTCGGCCAGCAGCTTGTCAACGTCATTTTCCTATGCTGCAGCGTCCATCTATTAACCAGCGAAATCTGGTACTGCCCATTTTCACCCGAGAACATCGATGCGGCCAAGTGGTGGCTCATGGCGGATAACCACTTGTCAACATTGTTCTTCTTCACGATCATCTTCCAGCAACACACGGCTGCTTGGGTCTTCAGCTTCGGCTCGCACTACCGCCAGCCAATCTTGAAAAACAATGTGCTCATGGGATTCGTTGCGGTATTAGTGACTATCGATCTGTATTTGCTTCTGGGCGAACCTACCGGTAGCGCCTTCACCGACCAGTTCCGTATCTCCAGCAGCACGAACGTCATTGGATTGCCGGATATTCCCATGCCTTTCAGCTTCCGTCTCAAGTATTTCGGTCTCGTTTCAGGCAGCTTTATTACTAGTGTCTCCTTCCAGTATTTTGTAGTTCTCGGTCCCGTACGCTCCCATTTCCGGGAGAAATATCACTCAGACGCGATCCCCATGAGGAAATAGTATGCACCAACTGATAACAATTATAGTACAGATATAACTCTCACGAATGATTATTAAAATAATATCGCGCGAGACTTGGGAGAAAAACTAATATTTAAACTGTAAGTTGAGCTTACACACTTATCAGTGGTGCACTAGCACTTATAAAACAGGAGTCATCACCAACTTTTTATTTTCTTCGTGTAACTGTCAACTTGATATTCTACACCGTTGCTGAGAATAATCTCAAACAAAGTGGACAGCATGTTTTTATTAATTGCAATTTTCTTCTTTCGTGATTAAAAGCACCAATGAATCCGAGATTGTTCTCATTCAAAAAGAGACGATCTACTGTACTGACCTAGATACCGTAGACCATGTCGTTCATCTTCTCCGCCGCATTCACCGCATCTCGACAGTGCAACTCCATATTCGCCACCAACGTCGGGGTGATGCACTTGATACTCGCTTCAGCCGCCTTCTCCAAGAAGCGCATGGTACGCTCCTTAATTGTCAAAAGGTTGCCGTCATCATCCGCCATGTTGCTTCGATCATAAATCTCCTCGCGATACAAAGCAAGATACGCCTTGATCCGTGCTTTTAGGAGAAACAGCCCTCGATGGGGTTGCACATCGGAGAGTAGGGGCCACAGCCCTCGATGGGGTTGCACATCGGAGAGTAGGGGCCGAGGCGTAGTAGCTTCAGGTCGGCGTGCTCTTCCACCCGCTCTTCTGTTTGGCGATGTGCAGGAGCGTTATCCAGGACGATAACAACCTTCTTACCGGCAAAGTTGTTTTGAAAGACAGGAGACGCCTTTACTGTACGGTAGACCTCGTCGATAAAGGCAGTATTTTGGGCAATACGAATACTCCCCCTCTCCAGCCGATGGAGTACAGCACCCATAGCTGAGTTGACCGCGCACTGGACTTGCAAGTTGGCCCCTTTTGACGGTGGCATCACCAGTATAGCTCGTTCTCCTTTACGCGCGCGTCCCCGACCACGCTTACAATACACATTGTAGTTAGTCTCATCTAAGTAGATAATACAGTCACCGTCTTTTTTATGGTCCTTGAGAGCTGTCGCGAACCTGGAGCGTTTGGTCTTGTTGATGTCATTGTTGCACGTCATGGGCCAGTCAGCGCGTCCTGCACGATGTGCGGAAAGAACGCGAAGCTTCTCGGCGGGTGTGTGCTTTCGGAGGAGGGGTTGGAAGGGCATCTGCGCTCAGACAGGTGAATTGAGAAGTGAGCTACTTCAGCCTCGTGCGCGGGCTTTCGCGCGCATTTTGGCGCCAAGACGTCTTCACCACCCATACTACGGCTGCCGCCTTTCCTTGTCTTGTTTTGGATGAAATTATTCTCGCTTTGTTTGCTGATTATTTTTGTTTGACTTGATATTCATATTTCACGAAACAAATTGTCCGCTTTGCTTGAAACTAATCTCAGTTTGGACGGGCAAAGGTGTAGCACTATAAAAGGGAGCTAGGCACCAATCGAGCGGAGCAAAAAACTAAGGCCATGCATCCAGCATTACGACGAGAGCGCTTCTGATAAGAGCTCATTCGACTTATAATGCTTATCTTATTGAAGTGGCTCTCTACAGGTACGTACTGCTTGGTCGTAGCGATCATTAATTCAACTTTGAAACCCCCTAATATTAATGATTTTTTTATTAATTAAGGCAAATGTAGTTTTTGAAAAATACATGGTCCACAAAATATTTTATATTTAGACATTGTCTAAGTTAAAAAATTGGATGGCATCAGTTTTACGCTCGATTTTACCTCAAGATTTTAATGAAAATGAATTGTCGCTCAGCTCGGCGATGATTTAGAAAAGGCTCTGTTTTAGCACCCAAAATGCCTGGCTGGGCAATTGTACCCTATTTCATCAGTCGTCCGTTTTGGACTCGACCTTGATTTTACCCTTCACCGCGAAAAGTCGGGACTATTTCATGTATTTGCAATTGTGTAGCTTATTAATACTGTATTCTGGACCAATTCATTAGCCTTCAACTTCTGGTTTATT